TACATTTAAATTTTTGAAGATCAAAGTTGACTTCAAAGCTAGAATCTGGAAGAGAGTTCCACAGGCGAGAAGTGCTGTTAAAATTAAATTTACAATTACATCTATCCATTTCAATAATTCAAATGACGAGGCCTTGCCTCCAATCTAGTACTGAGCTTAAATTCATCAAGTCTAGGTACCACAGAGGAATGTTTATCAGAAGAATTGTCATTAAAGTATTTATAGAAAAGGCACAGGAAACCTACGTTACGGCGGTAGGAAAGGGACTGAAAGCAAGATGCCAAGTCAGAACCAATAATATTGCAGATTCTTCTTTGAATTCTATCAAGAATCTCTAAATTTATTGCAGGGGTACCGGACCAAATGTGGCAGCAATATTCAATACATGGACGAATGGTAGACTTATAGATATGTAAGCTAGATTCTAGGGAGAAAAATTGTCTAGAACGACACAGTGAACCAACTTTCCTAGTATCGGACCTAGCAATTGATTCAATATAATCTTTCCACTTTATGTCAGCATAAGATATTAGCCCGAGAAGTTGCAAGGTTTGACTCTCCTAGAGGTTAGCAGCAGCCTTTCTGATGGAAGGCAAAAAGTGATTCCATTTGCATCTCCCTTTGTAAACACGGTATTATGCTATATTTTGAACGAGTGACTGTGCAGATAAAATCCCTAAAACCGCATATATTTAATGTCACAATTTTGATTTATTTTCTGGGTTTCGAGTAAGCGCAGATTGTGTGCCTGATACATTAGATGTAAATAAGAGCCAAACTTTTTTTAGTATTTTTAATTTCTTTGAAATCACTGGATATTTGTCTGTTGACCCAAACAATGATTGGCGCAGATGTTTGCGAAAAAACATTAGTGATTAACGGGCTTGGTAATTTGAAAAGCAGAAATTCTAAACAAACCCTAAAATAATTAGGAATAAAAGAAGAAAGTCATTCATGAAAATTAACTGGTTTTTCTGTTTTCAATTTGGAAGTTATTCTTATAATTTGCTAGGGTTGTCATCTACCCACACACACACACACACACACACACACACACACACACGCAAAATGGAATTATATTTCTTTTCCTGTCTTAAATACATTTCTTATTTATTCTTCCGTTTTATCTCTCTCTCTCTCTCTCTCTCTCTATCTCTCTCTGATCTGTCACACATATATAAAAGATAAAATCAGCCCATAATACACACACACACACACACGCACACGCACACACACACACACACAACTATATACCACTTTGGGTAACTTTCTCCAAAATGCCTTGTTCTACCATTTTTTTTAGTTTTACAACTACCATGGGTAGAATGAGAATAGGTATTTTTCGAGATTCAAAATAAATTGAGTGACTATTTTCTTTTAGATGAATACTCACTTTATATCCTTTTGATAGTCCTATGTCGTGTTCTTCTGACTTTATACAGTTTATTAATTTCACTGTATCCACTTTTAAAACATCTATTCCCAGGAGTTCATGATTTTTTGTGCATTCTACAACAGTGATGGGAATAATCTCAAAATGTTTTTTGTCTTGAAAATTCCTTCAAAGGAGCCTAGAATTTTGATGACAGATCCATCAAATTGTTTTAAATTAAGATTATTTTTCTTACCCATTTTTCCCAGAAATTCCTTGTGATCAAAGTAACATCGCTCTCCGTGTCAACCTGCATGAGAAAAGTTATGCCATTTAATTTTACTGTCTCTCTACTTTTTGCAGGCGTTCTTATTGAATGTACTTCTCTATTTTCATTATGATGGTTTATACTTTCTACCCTTTCTATTCTCTTTTTGTATGTGCACACAGATTGGAAACGGTCTTTTCTTTTACAGTTTAAATATAATTATTTTAGGGCTGGATATTTGTTTTTGCTTCTTTCGTGTTCTATATTTGCACTTAATTAAGATTTTACTTATGCTGTATGATTCCACATTGTTTTTAGAATTGTTAAAATCGTTAATTAATTCTAAATACTGCAAGAATTCTACACTTGCTACTAAATTCATATCATATAGCCGTTCTAGGATGTTATATTTGTATGTAACGTCATATATGCCTTCAATTAGTCTTAGAAGAATCAATTAATCTTCTATAGACATTTCTCTCGAACCCAGTTTTTCAAATTCGTAATATCTTGACGATTCTTTCAATCTGTGTAATCTGTGTGTATTACGGTTTCATTTGGGTTCTGTCTATTTTTCAGAAATTTTGTTCTTTCTGCCATAACCAGCTTTTCTTTGGTCGCATGTGTCTTTTTATAATGGTTGAAATTTCCTTATATGTTAAGTCTTCCAGTATTTTGGAGTACACTATAATGGATATTTTCTTTATGGCTTCAAATCCTGCCGAAGCCAAAAATAAATCAGTAATTTCATTCTCCCCTCCGGAGGCTTTTTGTCTTTTAGTTTCTTTACCCCAGCCAACGCTGCTAAACATCTAATCCACGTTTCTACGTGCTCCGTTTCATCCACCGTGGTTAGGAATCCTATCGGCGACGCCATGTTGTTATGAAGTAGAGTACTCTCTGGAATAGTAGTTGTCAACTCAACAGATGTTAGCTCGACTGGCATTCGTTGTGGCGTACTGCTTTTATAGCAGTACCTCTTTTACATACTGTTATGGGACCTTACCCATAATAACATAATGGACTATTCCATACGTAATAAATACTACGCCTCAAGAGGAAGCAGAGAGTTCAGTCGGAAGTCTGGAGTGAGGTCCGTCAGGAGTCTGTCAGTCAGTCAGAGCGAGCGAGTCAGTCAGTCGAGTCAAGAGTCGAGTCAGGGGCAGTCCAGAACAGACAATTACTACAAGACATTGGAATAGTGATACTGGTCGAGACTATATTTTTCTCCCTACTAAACCTGATTGTTCGTACTAACACTTTCTACTTCTTTGTATATATTCCTGTTTGTAATATATCTGTGTTATTCCATATCCGTGTTCGAGTTCTTCTTATTTTGTTCTACCTTGGACCATCACCGTGGTACAAGGACCTGGACCATAACAAGTGGCGACGAAGATTCGAACTCACACGTGAAGAACAAACAACAAAATCCTCTCTCGTCAACATAACACATACTATACTACAATTTTCCAGATAGTTAAATTTCTGTACTTGCTTGATACAGGCATCTCAATTTTTGACTCGTTTCTTGGGCTGTCCCTCTTCCTAATGAACATATATTATGTTTTCTTACAATTGATGGTTCGTCCTTTCTTCTCGTTTTCGTTTAACTACCCTGTCTAGTTTTCTTTCTGTTTCTTCCATCAACACGATATTATCTGCTCATCTTATATTATTAAGATTATGCCCGCCAATAATAAATCCTGGTAGGTTTTCTCGTTATCTTTGAATTGCCTCGCGGTATAGGTTGAATAAATCTTGCCAGGTGTGTAAGGCAAGGATATTTTAGACCCTTTTTTGTGTACCTACTCATTTCATTTCTTATATGCATGCAGGCGGTCTGTTCCCAGAGAAGGTTCCACATGATTTTCTCTTTGATTAAAATAATTCCACATTCTTAACATTTCATTGATTTTCTTTTAACGGCTTATCAATCTTTTTGAGGTTGTTGAAAGTTGAAACATTTTTTGTGCATATAATAATATTTTTCTGATACGTCTTACTTTTTGACACAAAATGGGAGGAAAAGAAGTGGATTGATATCTTTTCCCAATGGTATTTGCACTTAAAGGAATATAACAAACCCGACTAGAATTCGAACTTCTCCTTCCGAGCCTTTATCCATTATATCATGCGCACATTCAAGCTGAAAGCGACTGGTATTCTCCAGTGGTCACCTATCTAGGTACTGACCAGGTTCAACGTTGCTTAACCAGCAAAACCGGTGGTGTGATGTGGCCGTAAGCCTGAACGGAGCGAATTAGCAAATAGGAAATCTTAAAGAAGATTAAAAACAAAACAAAAAAAAACAAAAAAAAAACACTTATACTTAAAATAGGGAAATGACAACTGAAATTCCGCTGACAACGAGGAAAGACAACTTGGAAAACACAACACTCACTGGGCAGGAGAGATAGAGGAAAGCGATGAGCCACTTACCTGACGAGCTCATGTGAATAGATGGTGAAACTGTAGGTGGAAGACTTGGCAAAGGAACCTACGTTGCTAAGAGGCACAAGGGATAGGAGGTAGGGCAGAGTTATGATCGCCTATATCCTGAAGAGACGCGACACATAGAAGAACTCTTTGCCTGAAGAGCCACAAGGAATAGATTGTGGAGAGACAACGTGATATGTCAGTCATTTAAGTGCCATGCGTGATACACGTTTAAGCGATCATGTATCTTTCGATACATTACTGACGAAGTAGAATTTTTCCCGCAATAGGTTTCCATTTCTTTCTGTTGTAGACCAGTTACTATCAAAGGCGAACGAATTTACCCATAGCTGGAGAGAGAAGAACAGGATTCATACCTTTCCCAAGGCTATTAGCACGTAAGTGAATGTAATGGATTCAACTGGAATTCGAACTCGGCTCTCCGTTTCCTCAATCTGAGCCGCTATCTATTACTCCACCGTGGCTGTAAGTTTTAACATTTCAATCATTCATGACATTATTAACATTTACTTCTACGGAAAACTAATGAGGCTGATCGAACGATTCATTTGAAGAACAAAATCAGTTAACAGGGTTATATTGTATTTATTAACGTTTCTTTCTTTAATCAGGATTAGGTATCATGGTTGACAAGACGGGGCCGCTAATCAGCAATAATCAGGATTACGAATAACGAAATTCATGTGAATTATTATCCCATTAATTGGCAAATATGCAACGCTTCCGATAAGGATTAGGGGTCGATTGGATTTGATGAAAGTTAATCTTCCAAACTGGATGTTCTTATAGAAATTATTAAAATCGCCTACCAATCGACAGGTGTTAGTTACCGAATGACGAATCGGTTCATTAAGGCAGAAACAATATAACCGGTAGGCTTGTTAATCATTATCTGACGGTATGTTGCATATGCCAATGTTAGTTTGGTAAAACGCCACAACTGAAGGGCGCCACACAGAGAGAATCGAACTCACTACAGTAGGAATTAGCTACAGTATGACAACTATTGCTCAGTATCGATTCTCACAGGATGTATGGCTATATAATAAGCAGCGGTTAGTCTGTCACAAGAAATGAGAATCGCGGTAATTATTTGCGAAAGGGACATTTTTTACAATAATCTGTACAAGGTCCAAGAGCCAGTCGAGGTAGAAGGTTACATAGAGGCATAGTTTATGAGGATATGTGGGAAAGGTAATGGTTAACCTTAGACTTGAACAGGTTAAGATTGTAGTGATTGGGGAAGCATTTTGGGAGTCGGCTAAACAAAGTAGCAATTCATGGAGGGTGTTCGAGTGCGACTTGAATCTCACCAATGGATTATTAAAGGAATGGGGTTGGTTTGCTACAATGTGGCTGGCATGGTAGATCTCAGATATGAAGGTTAGAACTGGTGGAGCTAAGGAATATAGTTCGTCTGAACACTTTCCATGGAAATAGCGATAGAATAGAGAGGGGTTTGCGACGTTTCGTTTGTGGGAAAGAAATTGTAGGGTGGAAAATAATTCGTCAAAAACCGCTTCTGGACTTTATCGAGACTGGAAAGTGTAGACTGGTCAGCTCCTACTCATATATGGTAGCGGTACTCCATTTGCGGCTTGATCTGGCTCTTTCACAGGTGGAGGATAGCAGGAAGAATCAGTACAGGGAACCGATCTTTTTTTTCCAGTAGCTTCAGTGATGGATCGTATGTACGAATTACACTTGAAACTAAGTCACAATAGGGACGGGCGGCCGTGAGGGTACTCTCCCGTTCATCGCATTTAGGGTCCACTCGGTGATAATGGAACGTCATAAGGTGGTTAATAGACCACAATGAGGTGTTCACTAGAGAATCATTATGAAAATATTGCTGTTTGGAAACTAACAATTCGTTAATAAACGTAGAATTGTCCGGTGCCAAAACGATTTACCAAAATCTGCCTAATAACCAATTATTTTTCAGTAAGAAATTTTCAGTAAGCCATTATCTATCTATCTATCTATCTATCTATCTATCTATCTATCTATCTATCTATCTATGTAGCATGCTAGCTAGCTACTTTCTTTCTTTCTTTCTTTCTTTCTTTCTTTCTATCTATCTATCTATCTATCTATCTATCTATCTATCTATCTGTCTGTTTGTCTATCTATCTATCAAGCTTACGGTCGTATCACATTGAAACATTGGGAACCAATGTTTCAATGTGATCGCCAAAGTTAAGTAACATCGATCACCAAAGTTAAGTAACATCGAGCCTGGTCAGTACCTAGATAGGTGACCGCTTGGAAATGCCAGGTGGTGTACGTTTGGATATGAGGGTGGTGTAATGGGTAATGGCTCGGAATTATTAATCGGAAAGCTGAGTTCCAATCGTCGTTGGGTTCTTTATATTCATTTACGTGTAGATACCCTTAGAAACGGCATGAATTCAACTCTTCTCCCCCATCTATGGGTTGATTAATAAAACTTGTATCGCTAAACCATTATTATCCCCACCACAAAAATCTTACAATCTAAAATATTTTCTGGCTTTAAATAACCTGTAAAAAGCCGTAGAAAACGAATTAACCAACTAATCAATACACACACACACACACGCACACACACACACACATATATATATATATATGAAATATAACACACACACACACACACACACACACACACACACACACACACACACACACATATATATATATATATATATATATATATATATAATTGTGTATTTGGGCAGCAATCCCTCTTTTATACAAGTTTCATTAAAGACGACTGACAAGGTACTGCGATTGTCATTCGTCTTTAAAAAAAGGGAGACAGTCGTCCTTTTCGTCCAAGCATCCAGTTATGCTAAGCACATTGTTTGAAGACAATCTTTAACATCGTTGTGTACAGGCGTCAGTTTTTGTCAGTGTTTGTAGATGTGTATCATTTAAAATTTTGAAGTCAATCGATATTTTTTTCACGGTTCATAACTACGAAAAAATGGCTGAAGATAAATATTTTATTAATGGAAATAATTCTATCATTTTTAATGAAATTATTTATATGAATTCTAAGTATAATTACATAGTCATCAAAAATATATTTGATGGTTTTTCTCTGATCTCGTGCCAAATTCCATGTGAACAATGTGTTTCATCATTAAAAATACAAATTAACAACACCAATAATTCTGATTTTAATTCGTTGAATTCTTCGAGGAATTTTCCCGATATCTTGAGCTTAGAGTAATCGCTGATCAATCTAAGAATTTTCTAAAGAAATAAAAACGTTATATTCTAAAGATGAGAGGTTTGCATCTGGAAGAATTTTCCATCTCAACTTTTGTGTTGAACTTACAGAGTATAAAACTAGCTTTGTTGTGTAGTAAAATCACCGGCCAAGTTTCTTTGTCTTTTCCCTTCCAATGAATCAGTCAAATAAATTAATTAGAACGTTGCGCTGTACCATTTTATGTTTAAAGTATCCAGTTTGAAGTCCACCAAATACAGACAAGGATTCAAAATCCTTGCAAATTCCATTTAGGTCCAGATGTAGAAAGACTTTATTAACTTTGTCAATATTTTTGTATCCTCACATTCAGATATCTCAAAAAGCTACACCTAAATTAGGTACCTCAACAAAACGATACCTAAATTAGGTACAGCAAAAAGCAATCTGAATTAGGTACCTCAAAACAGGCGATACCGAAATTAGGTGCTTAAAAAGGGCGATATCTAAATTAGGTGCTTTCAACAAAAAGTGATACATAAATTAGTTACTATAAAACACTGATATCTAAATTAGGTACCTCAAAAAAGCCATAGCTAAACTGGGTACCAAATTATGTACTTAAAAAATTATATCTAAATTTAAAAATGAATTTTAAAAATGAAAAATCTTTCTTGAAGCAATTATTTCAGTTTTAATTCTAAACTAATAAATTAAATTTAATATTTCTAATAAGCAAAATACGTTGCTGCATTTCTAAATGTTTTTTTTAAATTTTTCGAAATACCATAAAATTAAATAAGTCGGGGTTAACAGATGTAAGAATATATTTTTACCAAGATTTTCTAAAAAAGAAACATTTCAAAAATAATTTTAATCAATTTGTAAATAGGTCCTGAAAGTTTCATTAAAACCCGATAATTATCTGATTTCTGCAGAAATTTTCAAATCATTGTTTTTTTTTTTACCGGAAAAAAGCGCTAAAAAATTACCAGATTAATTTAATTTAATAATGACATAAAGATTAAACTATTAAGCATAAGGCATAGTTTCATCATGTATGCTCAATTTTTTAGCGAATCCCATAATAAATATATTTTCTTATTCCATATCTGCTCCTTTTATCAGTTTCAGAGATTCTTAATAAAATAGAGAAACTTGCCTGCTCGCCATCAGCATGGATGATGCCAGACACTGAAAATTTGTGATACATCCAACAAAAAAAGGAGACCAATTCCCGTAATATATTATATATATATATATATATATATATAGTTGGATTGATGTGTGAGTTTGTGACCCTGGGTTTCACGTATCAATCCAACTAAATATTTTAGGTCTATCACTGATATTAAGCGCTTTCCAATAAGCACTGCGCATATATAATATATAAATAATATATATAAAAATTACATATATATATATATATATATATATATATATATATATATATATATATATATACATATATATACACATCATATATACATATATATATATATACATATATATACATATATATATATATATATATATATATATATATATATATATATATATATATATATATATATATATATATATATATATATGTTGTAGCGGCGTTGACCAGTTGCTGAGGGATATTTAGTGATATGTCTGTATGTAACACGTCGTTCGCCGGGGACTCGACGTTGCTAAACATCGGTGATCTTCCTAGAACCGATGTTTCTATGTGATATGGCCGCTATCCCTTCATTAACTAGTTCTTTTCTTCTTCTTCTTCTTCTTCTTCTTCTTCTTCTTCTTCTTCTTCTTCTTCTTCTTCTTCTTCTATGTGCTTTAAAAATTTCATCTGTCTCTTCCTGATGTTATAATTGACCTTTTTGTTTCCATTTTCTCTAAAACTTACTCACATGTTCGCTCCATGATATTTTCAGCATCCTTCTGTTGCTTATAGCCTCTTCTTCAACTGAGGATTTTGTCCAGCACCCGCTGCCATATAGGAGGAATGATATAGTTAACCTTAAATAACTCTCACGGGTTGTAATTAATACTTTTAGAAAGCCTCTTTAAATATATCGCCTGAAAGTCATAGCAACTGACACATTGAGAAAAAAAATGCTTGTCCGCCATATCAGATAGTTTGAGAATCCGTGCGTTACTGTATATCTTGCATCGCAGTTGGTGCATTTTTAGCAAATTCTCTCTCAAATGCAGTCTTGTTCGACTGTGTTCGAACATTCTCTAACACACAAGACGCCTTTTCTTTTTCATTGGATGGCATTTCTAAAAAGAAAAAAAAATATAAACCATTAAACAGAATTTTAACTTGCTTCAAAACATGCTGTTAAAATTTGAGATCATTCGAATGAGAATTTGTCTAGTTATTAGATTATGAAATTATATCAATTTTTCTGAAACACCTTGTACATATTTAGGGTTGTCTCTCTGCCTGATAATAGTCTAATAGTTGGCTGGGAGTTCGAGTCTCTCCTAGGTGTGTGACCTTTCTTTTCATGTGCCATGTCCTTTCAGGACGTAGGCGATCATGACTCTCCCCCACCTCTATTCTTCGCAGCTCTCAACAAGTTCATTCCCTCTGCTACCTTCCCTAGACCACGTTCTGTCACCCTCTTGCTTAAGGCCGCCATATATGTCCCTTATATCTCTCTCTTTCCATCTATTCGGCCCGTGAGTATCAGATTCTCCAGACCCTCCTTCATTATGTGTCTCAAAAACTTCAGCTGCCTCTTCCTGATATTAAGTAGAAGCTTCCTCCTTGTTTGCAACCTCTCTAAGACCTCATCGTTGCTCGCAGGCTCGGTTCATGATATCTTTAGCATCTTTTTGTAGAACCACATCTCTGTCGCCCCGAGTCGCTTCTTTACCTCAACATTCGCTGCCGTAAAGAAGGACAGATGTCACGTAACAGCTCAGTATTCTTTTCTTTTTTACCAAAGAAATCCTCCTGTCTCGAAATACCCTGCACAGCATTTGGAATGTGTCCTTGGCCATCCCAATACCTCTACGGATTTCAATGCAGCATTTACCGCCCTCTATCAAAACGCTTCCCAGATAATTAAACTTCCGCGTTTGATTGATTCTAGTGTTCCCGAGTGCAAATCGCATTTCAGGCTCATCCTCTTACTGATGACCATTCATTCTGTTTTCTTATAGTTTATGCTTAGTCCCTTATTCTCACTCTCCGTCGCTACCTTTTGTAGGAGATTTTGTAATTTCATTTCCGCGTCTGCGATCAGTACTGTGTCATCTGCGTATCATATGTTATTAAGATTGTGGCCACCAATGCTAAAACCCGGTAAGGTTTTCAATTCTCTCAGGATTGCCTCGCTGCATAGGTTGAACAGGTCGGGTGAGAAGATGCATCCTTGCCTTACACCCCTTTCGATTTCCTCGTCCTTTATGCGTATGCATGCTGTTTGCTGCTAGTATAGGTTCTTGATTAGTCTGATAACTTTCCTGAATATAACAAGGTTGCTCAGCAGTTCCATCAGATCCTTGTGGCGTATTTTGTCGAAGACCTTTACGTAGTCTATGAAACACAGGTGTAAATACTTCTGCATTTGTATTGCTCTTTTTGATAATATTCTGAGGATGAATATCGTTGTTCCTTGTTCCGGTGTCTTTAACGAACCCACGTTGTTCTTGTCCTATATCTGGCCTGATTCTGCTGCGCGCTCTATTCAACAGAATACGGATGATGAATTTTGTACTGAGAGTAGATATCTGATATAGAAAGTTCCTCTCCTACGGGAGGGCTTGGTGGTCATTACGCGGCGCCTGATGCGTCCCCAAAAGGAGAAATCGCTGAATTGGCTAAGAGAATTTTTCCTACGGTATTGACGGTAAACCCACTTTAAACCTCAACCATATGTCACTTTTGGTAGCGACGTGGGCGCGACGGAAAATCAGCTTAGATTTATAACCTTTTACTCAAAAAAGCTAATTATGGTGTGCAGTGTATTTACTAAACCTATAAGCATAATTCTTCTTCTTTTATGTGCCGTGTCCTTTCAGGACGTAGACGATCATGGCTCTCCACCTCCTCCTGTCCCTTGTAGCTCTAAATAAGTTTTGTCTTTTTATTATTTCTCCCAGACCAAGTTCTGCCATCCACTTGCTTAAGCCCGTTAAGCATGTCACGCGTTGCTTTCCTTTGTCCCTCATTCCATCTATCCGCCCTGTGAGTATCAGATTTTCCAAGCACTCCTTTCTCATTAAGTGTCCCAGAAATTTCAGCTGCATGTTAAGTATAAGTTTCCTCTTTGTTTGCATCTTCTTGAAAACTGCATCGTTGCTCACATGTTCGGTCGATGGTATACTCAGCATCCTTTTATAGAACTATATCGCTGTTGTCCCGAATCTCTTATGTGCTTTCAGTAGGCGGAAAATTATGACCCTGTATATCTTCATATTTTAACGCAATGATCTTTGTAAAACAGAAAATGCATTTTCTATAAAAATAAATAGTTTTAACACTGAATAACTCTATTTACACAGATTTTTAAAAAAATAATTTTGGAGATATTATTTGTAATTATTACGGGAGATTAAATAAAATGTCCGTTTGGATTCAGACCTCTCTTCTAAAGCAGTCATGGGTAAAATGTGGCCCACATGATGTATAAGGCCCGTTTAGCATTCTGAATGATGCACCGAATTTAAACCTAAAAAACGTTTCTTCAAACATTGTTTGTTTTATTTTGTCCTCACTTGTTCACTCACATATTCTCATACATAACCACACACATAAACAGTGATTAAGTACAATGCTTCTTGATTTTTGTAACCTATTATTGATGAAAACTTTTTCATCATTTTAAACCAGTGGCGATTTCCCCTAAAAGTGAAAACTTCATTTCCTGCAGAAGCAATTTTCTTGCTGCTGTTACAGTGTAAACATGGCCGCTCCGCCAGCAGTCTGCATCAAGGTGAAACAAAAAATAGTGATCCGATTTCTCTTCGGAATGTGTTTCAGGGGCTGAAATTCATAGGAGTCTTTTTAACATAATACGGGGACAACAGTGCAGTAGCGTGTAGAAGTGTATATGAGTGGATGGAGAAGTTTAAAAGTGGTCGGACACACGTGACTCGCGAAAAAGGAGCAGGACACCCGCCAACCTCCCCCACTGAATAGAAGATTCAGTAAGCTCGAAGGGTGATAATGATGAACGGGAGATCATCTTATATAATCTTATATTGATCAAAATATTTTGAAGGAAATAAAAACAAGAAAAAAAAAAACATCACAGTGGAATGGATTGATTATAAACACGTGCTCAACGTGATCCCTCAATTCTGGATTCTGGAATGCCTAAAGATATTTGAAATTGAAAGGAAGTACGGCAAATATGTTCCTCACGATGAAGAACTGAAAAATAAAACTTACGGACGGGGGACATCATTTGAGATGACGATTAAAATGAGGATCTTTTTTTCAATGATTCGTTTTTTTTTTCCCAATTTTTTTCCATGGATAAGATGGGACTTCTCTTGATTCTTAAGAATGATTCAAATTGAAGGGAATATGGTAAATCCTATCGCCATCACGACAAAGAAAAGGAAAGTAAAACTGTCAGAATCAGTTAAGGTGGAGATTATAAATAATAGGGATATTTCAACGGGATTCATTGTCATCATTCTTGTCAAAGCTATGATAGCGATGTGGGTGATATGAAACAATTGTCAAGAAATGTGTACATTTATAAAAGCATTGAAAAAATTGTTTAAAAACATTTTTTATTTTGAAAAGGATTGTGGAATTTGCATGTTATTCAGACTAGCTTACATGGCATATATATTTCTGCTGACAATTACCCTGATGAAGAAAAGCAAGGGGGTAAATGAGCCCTGCTTCACGGTAAACGTCCATCAAGGACGAGCGATCTAAAACAACGCAGGTCTCTCTCTCTCTCTCACTATATATATATATATATATATATATATATAACCGCCTGAATATTCTGGAAATCTTATTAAAGAAAAATATGCGTTCTACGAGAGGATTTGAACCCGATTCCTCCTTTGTGTCGGTCTAAAGCACGCAGGATTTAACCACGGTTGCTCCTGCAAATGGGGACACAATATCGAATCCTGCCAGAGAGGGAATATTTTTCGTTAATAATATTTTTAGGCAGTCAAACAAAAATGAAAAATGATACTGCTTGATAAATAAACAGAGTGTCTACTCAAATATGGGTATCCCCAAAAAATAACGTTTAAAGTTATAATATATATATATATATATATATATATATATATATATATATATATATATATATATCGTTTAAAATTTTATATTAATTTTAAGTGTCCGAATTTTGAGATGGAAATCCTTCAGAATGGATAGAAATTAAAAGAAAATTAAATTCTCCATGTCATACAGTATGTAATAAATTTGGGTATTTAATCCCTACAGATTTATAAGTTATTGACATTTGGAAAAAAACGTTCATGATGAAAGTATGTTTCGAAAATAATATCCGATAATGAATTTTGCTTCTAACGGCTTCATTCGATGGATAACGAAAAATGTTTTGTGTGTGTTTAAAATAATTAAATCTTATATAATTTTCCCAAGCTGGTGTTGCTCGAGACTAAAAAAGAAAAAGAAAATGAAGGATCTTTTAAAAAAATCCTTTAACAGCTTATATTTTCCGCCTTAAGAGTTCGAGTTTTCAAATGGAAAACCTTCAGAATGGGTAGAAAATAGATGAAAGAATAGTTTTTATCCATGTCCACAATATGTAATATGCATGGGTAAAAACAATTCTTTCATCTATTTTCTACAGATTCTGAAGGATTTCCATCTCA